ATTTATTTAAATGAAGATTTATACCTTTTATTTTTTTTCTTGCCTAACATCATCTGCTAAAATCTCTAGATCAATGCTAACTAGAAACGATAACACTAGACATTCTCATCTCCTTTCTAAACTTAGTTGATTAGCTTTCAGTATTTCACCATTGAGCTGTAAGTTTGCGATATGGTTTTTACAGAGATTTTTTAATGGATTAAGGAAGCTTCTTCTATTACTAGTTTTCTACGAGATCTTTCTTATCATGAAAGGACATTGAATTCTATTAATTTTTTGCACCCTCAAAAACATGGAATGATTTTCAGTTATTACTCAGTATGAACCCATCTAGATTGTGATGTATTATTTTTTTTCTAATGTTAGAGTCAATTTATTAATTTTTGTTTCGAAATTTTATATACATGTTCATGAAATTGGCCTGTAATTTTCCCATCTTGTTATGCTCTTTTCAGGCCTACAAGTAACTATTGAAAAAGTATTTTCTATGTTTATATTCTCTGTAAGAGTTTTTGTAATATTGGTGCTGTTTCTTTCTCAAATGTTTGGTAGAATTCACAGGAAAGCCATCTGGACCTGTAGTTTTCTTTGTGGAAACATTTTTTTAAAGCAGCTTTACTGAGACATAATTTACATATCATAAAATTCATCCATTTTAAATATAAACCTTAATGATTTTTAGTAAATTTACAAAGTTGCGCAGCTATCACCAAAATCCAATTTTAGAACATTTCCATCACCTCAAAAATATTCCTCATACTAATTTGCAGTTGTTTTTATTACAACCCCCAGTTCCAGGGAACCACTTATCTATTTTCTATCTCTATAGATCTACTTTTTTTGACCATTTGACCATACAATATATAACTTTTGTCCCCAGCTTCTTTTACTTAACATAATAATTTTGAGATTCATCTATATCATAGTTATGTGATCAGTAGTTCATTCCTTTTTATTGCTGAATAGAATAGCATTTAACAATATGAATATATTTTATATTGTTCATATAGTCAACAGTTGAGTATTAGGTATTTTTATGTTTTAGCTATTACTAATAATGTTGCCATGAACATTTATGTGTCTTTGTACATACACATTTTCATTTCTTAGAGTGGAATTGTCATACCGCTTGGTGTATCTAAGTTTACCACTTCAAGACACCGCCAAACTGTTTTCCAAAGTGGTTGTACCATTTTACATTTCTATATCCAATGCTGCAGTTTCTTCACATCTCAATAATACCTATCATCTTTTTTACTGTAGCCATCTAGTGGGTATGAAGTGGTATCTCATTGTGGTTTTGAATTGTGTTTCCTAATGACAGATGGCATTTAACATCTTTCCATGTGCTTGTTTTCCATTTGTATATCTTCTTTGAAACAATAATTACTCAAGCTATTTGCCCATTTTTTAAATTGAGCCACTAACTTTCTTATCATTGAATTGTCAGTGTTCTTTATATATTCTGGATACATGTCTTTTATGAGATATATGATGTGCAAATATTTTATCCAAGTGTGTGGCAGACCTTCTCATTTCCTTAGTAACTTTTGAAGCACAGAGGTTTATTATTTTGATAAAGTCAATTAAATTTTTTTTGTTTATAAGCCATGCTTTTCTAAGTATTATACTATAAGATACTGTATCAAAGAAATCTTTTCCTAAACCCCAGGGTTAAAAGTTTTTTATCCTGTGTTTTCTTCTAAAAGTTTTACAGTTTTAGCCATAACATTTAGGTCTATCATCGATTTTGAGTTAGTTTTTGTGTCTTATGTGAAGGGTCTAAATTAATCTTTTTATGCATGTCGGTAACTAATTTTAAATGAAAAAGAAAAGCAACACTGGATGTTAATGAGGGTATGAAACAAATGAAACTTGTATAAATTATTGAGAGAATATAGAATGGTAAGATCAATTTGAGAAAATAGATGGCTGTTTATTATAAATTATAACATTCATTGACCTTATGACTAAGGAATTCCATTTTTACCCAAAACAAATGAGAATATATGTCCATAGAATAAGTTATACATGAATAGCCATGGCAGTATTATTTATAAAAGCCCCAAATGGGAAATGGTTGTGGTGCCAATAAGCAGTGGTGTATTCATATAATAGGACACACTACTCAACACTAAAAAAGGTAAAATAATGTTGTTACATTCAACAAGATGGTGAATTTCAAAAACGTTATCCTGAAGGTAACAGATCATATAGAAAAGAGTGCTTATTTTACGATTCCATTAATATGAATTTCTAGAAAAAGTTAACATATTATTTTCTTTAAAAAGCACTAGAATGAAGAAAATATCAGAACAATGGGTGTCTCAGGGTTAGAGGGGGATGAGTATTTCAATAGACGGAGGGTGAAAAACTTTCTGGAATGATGGACTGTTATATATTGATAAGGGTTTGAAATACCCAGATAAATATCCAAACTCAGTGGATTACACACTTAAGAATTTTGCATTTCACTATGCGTACCTTTAATTTCAAAAGAAGAAAACTATTGAAAAATTAATCTGTTGTTGGAAATACATATGTTGAGCTTGCAGTTGCACTAAAAAGAAGATGACTGATGGTTGAATGGATAGATATGTATCTATGGATGGATAGATCTGTAGTATAGTAAGCATAGCAAAAAGTTAATGGTAGAATTTAGGTGGTAGGTATATGGGTGTCCACTGTAAAATTCTTTTAACTTTATTGTACATTTGAAACTTTATATAAAAATATGTTTGGAAATTTTAAAAAATGTGTTTTTTGTTTCCACAAGCCCAAAATTATTTATTCTACTGTCACAGAAAGAAGGAAGAAATTTTGGATTCACTTCAAGGCATATTCTAGAGAAGGCCTGGCCTTCTCTTTATATATTTATCTAATTCAAGTTAAGAAGATATGGAACTTTAGCCTACATCTCACCTAAATTTATTCATCCCTTTAGGGTAGCCAAAGTTGCTCCTTTTTAAATCATGACAATATCCAGGGGACTTCAAGGAGTATCTTAGTTAATTTATTCATTTTGCTTACAGAAGCCAGCCAAAAATGTTTTTTGAGGAGCTTAATTTATTTATTAAAACACTTATTGGTTGTTGAGATATGTAGAATGCACAAAAGGATCCCATGATCTAATGGAAATGAAGTCATTGTCTCTATTTACTTTGTTTCTGATGGTTCACGTTTTACTCTTTCCAAAGCAGTATAACCTTCATTTCGTGTTCACAAAATGTTTATCGAGAGCCTGCTAGTTCAAGAGTCACAAAATCAAATAGATCATATGTCATATGATTTTACTGTATGACCCCACTCAAATCTCATATTGAAATGTAATCCCCATAGGTTGGGGGAGGGGTCTGGTGGCAGGTGATTGAATCATGGGGTAGATGTCCCCCCCTTGCTGTTCTCGTGATAGTGAGTTCTCAAGATACCTGGTTGTTTGAAAACGTGTGCCACTTTCCCTTTTGTCCTCTCTCTCTCTCATGCCACCATGGTAAGATATGCCTTGCTTCCCCTTCCTTTTTCCCCATGACTTTAAATTTCCTAAGGCTTCCTCAGCTATGAGGAACTGTGAGTCAATTAAACATCTTTTCCTTATAAATTATCCAATCTCAGGTAGTTCTTTGCAGCAGTGTGAAGCCAGACTAATACAATATCCATAATGAGTTTAAAGTCTACAGAAGAAATTATCTTACGCTTTCCCATTTAATTTGTTAAAATATTGAGTTTTTAAATTATAGACACTCTCTACAAAACTGCCATGCCATGTTACTATTTTCATTTTTCCATAGTACAATTTGTTTATGCCACTATTTATACATTTTTACATAATTTTAATTTTTACATTTGACTTTATAGTAATCACATTTTCTCATGTATATTACCCTGGAATGACCTCTTATAATAGAGTGTAAGAGAAACTAGGAAAGAGTATAATAAAGATAGGCACAAACAAGTTTCTTCCCAAGAAAAATGAAGCAATGAAGTTAGTGTAGACTTTATTTTCCAGGAACTAGTAGCTTCCTCTTCCTTCTCTGTGGAGGAACTAGGAGTGCTTGTCTGTCTTATGCTCATTTTTCTCATTTTCTTAAAAGGTTATAGATAGACTGGGCATGGTGGCTCATGCCTGTAATCCCAGCATTTTGGAAGGCGAGGCAGGTGGATAAAAAGCCCAGAGTTCGAGACCAGACTGGCCAATATAGTGAAACCCCATTTCTACTGAAAATACAAAAATTAGCAAGGCATGGTGGTGGATACCTGTACTCCCAGCTACTTGGGAGGCTGAGGCAGGAGAATTGTTTGAATGTAGGAAGCAGAGGTTGCAGTGAGCCAAGATCACGCCACTGCACTCCAGCCTGGGTGATAGAGTGAGACTCCATCTCAAAAAAAAAAAAAAAAAAAAAGGCTACAGATACGAAAAAGACTTTGCCTTTATCAATAAAATTGTAAGCTCTGTGACTACTCAGAAAATGTAAGGCTTGTTTTAAACATATTGATATATTTAAATAACAGTAGTTTTTAGCTATAAAAACTAAAATGGATTAAAAACGATAGCCTTCCATGGTAACACAGAAAAACTATATGTCCTGTTTAGTAAAATATTGTTAGGACTTGTCTTTTGTTGATTCTCAAGAAAAGGACAGTAGAAGGTGAAGATCAGAATTTGTGAGTCTAGAAAGCACACACACATACAAAAGCTTGGGAATTGAGAATTTGTCTGGGAGAAATCTAAACACTTATAATAAATTCTTAATTACTTAGCTTCTTGTCTGTATTTGCTTTTCCTCTAAAACAAATGTTATTTACTCCAGAGATGGGCAGCTAGATTTGTGGAATATGTGTGAAGTGTTGCTTGAGTTGGAACTATTTTAGATCAAATAATATTATCACAGTATCTAATGAACCAGTAGTCTTCTGAAATGGGGCAGGTGCTATGAATGGTTTTACCTTCATAATTTTTGAAAAAATCATAGAGTCATACCTGAAAGCGAGTCATCCTATTAATTTATAGATATGGTATTAGATGTTATTAATTTATACGACAGAACTTTACCTGAAAGCATTTGGTTGAACATAATTGGTAGGCTAGTAGCAAAACTCAACGAAGAACTGTGCATATTGGCAGGAAGGATTTGAAGCAGAGAAAGAGTAGAGGTAATGGTATGTTACAGAAATAGACATAGCAGGAATTAGAAATAGGTATTAGTCTATAGAGGTTAATTTTGAGTATGTCTTAGAAGACCTTAGTTGATTGGGAGCCTGTGAATTATACCAGGTAAGGACTCTTGGGTTTGGGTCCAGTGAAGCATTGAGGCAGATAAAGGCAGAAGGTCAGAGGAAGGAGACCAAGCAGTTGCTATTTATTATTTATTTTATTTTATTTTCCTGAGATGGAGTCTCGCTCTACTGCCAGGCTGGAGTGCGGTTGCGCGATCCCGCCTCACTGCAACTTCCGTTTTCCGGTTTCAAGCAATTCTCCTGCCTCAGCCTCTCCAGTAGCTGGGACTGCAGGCACGCACCACCATGCCCGGCTAATTTTTTTTGTGTGTGTATTTTTAATAGAGACAGGGTTTCACCGTGTTGGCCAGGATGGTCTCTATCTCTTGACCTCATGATCCGCCTGCCTCTGCCTCCCAAAGTGCTGGGATTACAGGCGTGAGCCACCGCACTCTGCCCTTGTTGACTTATATGGCGCATTTTTACTGGGAGCTTATTGCAGTTAACGCTGTACATTCAAATGTTGAGAGATATATGCATAACCTTTGTATAGTCAGTCTCAGCAAGAAAGAGAAGGTACACTCGAAATGACAATTTGAGTAGAGCTTCTTTGAGAAGAGTTATTTACATAGGTTTGGGCAGGATTTGTAAGGGACGGTGCTGGGTTCTAAGGCGGTTATAGTGGAAAACGGTTACCAGGGAAAGTAGCGGCCTTGAGAAGCTGACAGAGACAGAGGCATTGGATACAAGTGTGCCATCCAACCAGGATAACCCACGACAACTAGGACAATGATCTCCATCTCCCTTTCTCCGTGTCTTCTTGTCTCCTGAGAACGCCTCACATCGATCACACCCAAATGGAAGCAAGAGGGCAGTGAATCCTGTTGAGGGAGCGCCTGTGAGTCAGCAGCCGCGCGGGCAGAGAGAAGGTGGACGGTGGATAAAGGTAGGTGGCAAATGGAAGATAACCAGCAGAGCTTCTCTCCTCACGAAGCTTTCGTTTTAGCGCAGTGGTTTTATTTAGGGCAGCGAGGGAGATGTTGCTCCCTCAGGGAACATTTGGCAATGTTTGGTGATATTTTTTAAATTGTCACAACTTGAGGGAGGGGCGCTACTGGCATTTTGTGTGTAGAGGCCAGTAGAGGGCAAGGATGCTGTGAAACATTATACAATACACAGTACTGGACACACCTCCTTCAAAACAAAGACTTGTTTAGCCTGAAATTCCAACCATGAGGAGGTCTGTTTTACTGTAGAAAAAAATATTTGTCAAATGATCACATAAATGAATGTAAAATTGTAAACTATGTGGTATCCTATTAAAGAAAGGCACATGCTGCTATCAAAATGCAGGATCAGGGAGGCTTCTGTGAAGATAGGATGATTAACCTAAGATTTGAAAGATGAACCAGAGATAAGTAGACCAAGGAAGAGGAGGGGAAAAATAATCTGGGCAGAGCAAACACCATATGCAAATGTCTAAGGCAATAAGCAGAATGGAAATCTTCAAGAAAAGGAAGGAAGACTGGTGGGATGGAATGCAGAGAGAAATAGAGAGCTTGGTACAAAATTGGATTGCTGGGCCTGGTCCAGATGCACCAGGCAATTTTGGACCATTTCAGAAGCACAGCATCTTTGAGCACACACATAGTTGCAAATGGTACTTATCCTCAAAGGTAAGTCAAGATACAGAAAAACATAACCACTTTTAGGATGTCCTTTTAGGACAAGATGGGGGTGAACAGATAGAATAGCCTCCCATTCCCTGTGCCTCAAGAGGCAACATGGCCTATGATTAAGGATATTTAATCTCTGGAGCCAAATTGCCTGGGCATAGATCCTGCCTGACACTGACTAGCTGTGTGACCATGAGCAAGATAAACTCTCTGAGCCTGTTTCTCCATGTGTAAAAAAGTGCTAATAATGGTGTATTCCTCATAGTGTTATCAGAAAAATTAAAAATGGAAACAATGCCAGAATAGTGCCTAGCACACAGTAAGCATCTCATGTAGTAGTAGTAATAGCAGTAGCAGTAGTAATATTTGTTATTGTTCTAAAAAACAAACCAAAAAAAAAAGGGGGGTTAGGATATTGCTGCCTGTTGGCCGAATTTAGTGTCTGCCTGCTTTTGTACATAAAGTTTTACGAAACACAGACATGCTTATTTGCTTGCATATCTCTATGTCTGCCTTCATTTAATGATGACAGAATCAAGTTGTTGAAACACAGACTATATGGCCCACAAAGCTGAAAATATTTATTATCTGGCTCTTTACAGAATATGTTTACTCTAGGGGGATTAAGTACTGCTTGCCCCATGGACCTGAGCTGTCATGGGTTCCTTCAACAGTTTTCTGAAGATATTTGTAGAAACTCTTTTTAGATATTTTGAGTCCTTATCCCACTTTCTAAAAGTGCACTTATCCTATATTCTAAACTAGCTCCCAGAATCTCAACTCTCTTTTCATCTACCTTAATAAGAGATTCTTAATGGAAGTCTCTTACTCTACTAACCTCTCCAGTTCTTGGTTAACAAAATACTCATGACTCTGCCATAGCTATTTGGAATTGTGATGCTGTAATCTTAGGCTTTGTCAGTGCGGGATTGGTCCTAGATATCACCTTCTTCCCACCTAGCTGAAATGATATGCTACCTGGTGGGATTCCTCAGAGGCTCACCACTTTTGCCCTGAAACAAGTCCTCACACTGAAAGACTGAAGTAAAATACAATATCTAGAGTTATACAGGACTTGCGGAGTTTATAACAATACAGGTATTGTTATAAAAATATTAAACAGATTATCTCATTTAGCCCTCACTCTGATAATCCACATTTTATAAGTTAGGATTTTGAGGATTGACAGAGGCAGCACCTTCCCCAAGATCTCCCTGCTGGTCAGATGCCAGAACCCCACCAGTGTGATTGTGGGGCCATTTCCTTAACTTCCTCCTCACCATGAGAGCTGATACTTGGCATTCTAGGTACAGTCCCAAAACCACAATCTGCACTTGATCTAAAGATAAAGAACAGAATTGAATGGGAGGAGCAATAAGATCTCAGTAACACTAGGATTCTGGTCCCTGGAGGGTTCAGTTCTCATGTCTACAAGTATTGATATCCACAAAATTCATCTGGACTGCAGGTTAAGGGAGGGGCACCAAGAAGGCCCTGAAAACTGAGGCAAAATTTTCTCTCAGAGAGATTTTTACATGCTTTTGGAAAAATCAAACAAAACAAAACACCACAATAGTGTTGCTAGCTTAGAGCCTAGAGGTTGAAGAATACAGGCATACCTTGGAGATTGATTCTAAAGCACCACAATAAAGCATATTACATAAATATTTGATTTCTCAGTGCATATAAAAATTATGTTTACACTATGCTTTAGTTTATTAAATGTGCAATAGCATTATGTTTAAAAATGCAATGTACATATACTGTAATTAAAAACTATTTTATTGCAAAAAAAAATGCTAACAATCATCTGAGCCTTCAGTGAGTTGTAATATTTTTGCTCGTGGAGGATTTTGCCTTGATGTTGATGGGTGCTGATTGATCAGATTGGTGGTTATTGAAGGCTGGGGTGGCTGTGGAAATGTCTTAAGAGAATAATAAAGTTTACCATCTAGATTCACTCTTTCTTTTATGAAAGGTTTCTCTGTAGTATGCAATGCTGTTTGATGGCATTTTGCCTATAGTAGAACTTCTTTCAAAATTGGAGTCAATCCTCTCAAACCCTGACACTGCTTTATTAACTAAGCTTATGTAATGTTCTAATTCTTTTGTCATTATTTAAGCAATGTTCACAACATCTTCACCAGGGGAAGATTTCATCACAAGAAATCACTTTCTTTACTCATTAATAAGAAGCAATTCTTATCCACGCAAGTTTTATCATGAAATTGCAACACATCTTCAGGCTCAACTTCCAATTATATTTCTCTTGATATTTGTACCCCATCTGCAGTGACTTCCTCCATTGAAGTCTTGAAACCCTCAAAGTCATCTATGATTGTTGGAATCTTCTTCCAAACTTCTGTTCATTTTGGTATTTTGACCTCGTACCATAATTCACAAATGTTCTTAATGACATCTAGAATGGCGAGTCTTTTCTAGGAGGTTTTCAACTTATTTTGCCTACATACATCAGAGGAATCATTACCTATGGCAGTTATAGCTTTAAGAAATGTATTTCTTAAATAATAATACTTGAATGTTGAAATTACTTCTTTTCCATGGGCTGTAGAATGGACATGGTGCTAGTAGGCATGAAACAACATTAATCTCCCTGTATATCTCCATTAGAGATCCTGAATGACTAGATTCACTGTCAATCATGTAATATTTTAAAAGAAATCTTTCTTTCTGAGGAGTAGGTCTTACCAGTGGGCTTAAAATATTCAGGAAACTATACTGTAAATAGGCATGCTATCATCTTGGCCTTATTCCATTTATAAGGACACATAGTAGATTTAGCATCATTCTTAAGGGCCCAAGGATTTTTGGAATGATAAACGAGTATTGGCTTCAGCTTGAAGTCAACAACTGCATTAGCCCCTAACAAGAGAATCACTGTGTCTTTTAAAGTTTTGAAGCCAAGCACTGACATCTCCTCTTTGGCTATGAAAGTCCTAGATAGCATCTTCTTCCAATAGAAGGCTGTTTTATCTATACTGAAAATCCGTTATTTAGTGTAGTCACCTTCATCAATTATCTTAGTTAGATCTTCTGAAGAACTTGCTGCAGTTTCTACATCAGCTCTTGTTGGTTCACTTGCACTTCCATGTTATGAAGATGCATTATTTCCTTAAAGCTATGATCCAATCAGTGCTAGATTCAAACTCTTCTCCTGAAGCTTCCTCACTTCTCTCAGTCTTCACAGCATTGAAGACAGTTAGGGCCTTGCTGTAGACTAAGCTTTGGGTTAGGGGAATGTTGTAGCTGGTTTGATCTATACAGACCGCTAAAACTTGCTCCGTATCAGCAATAAGGCTACTTCACTTTCTTTTCATTGGTATGTTCACTAGAGTAGCAATTTTAATTTTTTTTCAAGAACATTTCCTTTGCATTCACAACTTGCCTAACTGCTTGGTATAAAAGGCTTAGCTTTTGGCTTATTTCAGTTTTTGACATGCCTTCCTCCCTAAGCTTAATCCTTTCTAGCTATTGATTTAAAGTGAGAGACTTATAACTTTTTTTTTCCAACTGAACACTTACTGGCCACTGTAGGGATATTATTTGGCCTAATTTCAATATTGTTGTGTCTCAGGGAATAGGGAGGCCCAAGAAAAGGGTGAAAGACAGGTTGTGGTGATCTGTGATCAGTGATGTTTGCTGTTCCTATTGTAATTATTTTGGTGTGCGATGAATCTTGCCTAGATAAGATGAAGAACTGAATCCATAAATATTGTATGTGTTCTGACTCCTCCACTGACCAAACATTCCTCTGTCTTTCACCCTTTATAAAACCCATGGTTTTATAAAGGGTAATTTCCCTGCACATATTTTCTTGCCTGCCACCATGTAAGACATGACTTTTCTCCACATTTGCCTTCCACCATGACTGTGAGGCCTCCCTAGACATGTGGGATTGTGAGTCCATTAAATGTCTTTTTTTTTTTTTGATAAATTACTCAGTCTCAGGTATTTCTTCATAGCAGTATGAAAATGAACTAATACAATAAACTAGTGCTGGTAGAGTGCAGTACTGCCACTAAGTTATCCTAAAATATAGAAACAACTTTGGAACTGGGTAACAGCCAGAGTTTGAAACAGTCTGGAGGGCTTAGAAGAAGACAGGAAGCTGTGGGAAAGTTTGGAGCTTCCTAGAAATGTGTTGAATGGTTTTGACCAAAAGTCCAGGCTGAGGTAGTCACAGATGGAGATGAACTTATTGGAAATTGGAGCAAAGGTGACTTTGGTTATGCTTTAGCAAAGAGACTAGTGGAATTTTGTCCCTGCCCTAGAGATTTGTAGAACTTCGAACTTGAGAGCGATGATTTAGGGCATATGGCAGAAGAAATTTCTAAGCAGTAAAGCATTTAAGAGGACGCATAGCATAAAAGTTTGAAACATTTTTAGCCTGATGATGAAATAGGAAAGAAAATCCCATTTTCTGGGGAGAAATTCAAGCTGGCTGCATACATTGGCATAAGTAATGAGGAGCCAAATATTAACCACCAAGACAATGGAGAATGTCTCTAGGGCATGTCAGAGACTTTCATAGCAGCCCCTCCCGTCACAGGCCTGGAAGCCTAAAAGGATAAATCATTTCAAGGGCTGGGCCCAGGGCTCCGCTGCTCTATGAAGCCTCAGAACATGATGCCCTGCATCCCAGCTGCTGGAGCTCCAGCTGTGGCTAAAAGGGGCCAATGTACAGCTCAAGCCATTGCTTCAGAGGGCACAAACCCCAAGTCTTGGTGGCTTACATGTGGTGTTGAGCTTGTGGGTGCACAGAAATCAAGAATTGAGGTTTGGGGACCTCTGCCTAAATTTCATAGGATGTATGGAAACACCCGAATGTACAAGCCCATGTGTGCTACAGGGAAGGAGTCCTCATGGAGAACCTCTAGTTGGTCAGTGTGGAAGGAAAATGTGGGGTGGGAGCCCCCACACAAAAGTCCTCACTGGGGCAGTGCCTACTAAAGCTATGAGAAGAGGGCCATTGTCTTTCAGAGCTCAGAATGGTAGACCAACTGACAGCTTGCATTGGGCACCTGGAAAAGCTGTAGACACTCAATGCTAGCATGTAAAAGCAGACAGGAGGGAGGCTGTACCCTGTAAAGCTACAGGGGCAGAGCTGCCCAAGACCATGGGAACTCACCTCTTGCATCAGCATGACATGGGTGTGAGACACAGAGTCAAATGATATTATTTTGGAGCTTAAAGATTTTATTGCTCTGCTGTAGCCCCTCCATTTTGGCCCATTTCTCCAATTTGGAATGGGTGCATTTACCCAATGCCTATGCCCCTTTGTATCTAGGAAGTGACTAACTTGCTTTTGATTTTACAGGCTCATAGTCAGAAGGAATTTGCTTTGTCTCAGATGAGACTTTGGACTTTTGAGTCAATGCTAAAATGAGTTAAGATTTGGGGGAACTGTTGGGAAGGCATGATTGGTTTTTAAATTTTTTAAATGTGAGAACATGAGGTTTGGGAGGAGTCAGGGGCAGAATGATATGGTTTGATTGTACCCCCATCCAAATTTCATCTTGAACTGTAGCTCCCGTAATCCCCATCATGGTAGGGACCCAGTGGGAGGTAACTGAATTATAAGGCTGCTTACTCTCATGCTGCTGTTCTTGTGATAGTGAGTTCTCACTAGATCTGATGGTTTCATAGGGATTTTCCTCCATTTGCTCTGCACTTCTCCTTGCTGCTACCATGTGAAGAAGGATGTATTTGCTTCCCCTTCCACCATGATGATAAGTTTCCTGAGGCCTCCCTACCTCTGCAGAATTGTAAGTGAGTTAAAACTCTTTCTTTTACAAATTAGACAGCTTTAAGTATGTCCTTATAGGATCCTGAGTATGGACTAATACAATGACTAAGTCACCAAAAGCAATTGCAACAAAACCAAAAATGGACAAATAAGACCTAATTAAACCAAAGAGCTTCTGCACAGCAAAAGAAATTGTCAGCAGAGTAAACAGACAACCTACACGGTGGGAAAAAATATTTACAAACTATTCCTCTGACAAAGGAATCTTTGTCTATCCAGAGTCTATAAGAAACTTAAATAATTGAAAAAGCAAAAAATAAATATCCACATAAAAATGGGCAAAATACATGAACACACTCTTCAAAACAGAAGACATACAAGTGGCCAGCAAACATATGAACAGATGCTTATCATCACTAGTCATCAGAGAAATGCAAATCAAAACTGCAATGAGATATACCATCCACATCAGTGAGAATAGCTATGACTGTAAGGTCAAAATAAAAGATATTGGTGAAGCTATGGAGAAAATGAAACACACTGTTGGTGGGAATGTAACTTAGCCACTGTGGAAAGCAGTTTGAAGATTTCTCAAAGAACTCAGAACTACCATTCAATGTAGCAATCCCATTAAACGTTATATATTTAAAAAAAAAAAAAAGATTCTGCCAAAAAGACACACAGGAATTTGCATGTTCATTGGCACTCCATTCACAATAATAAAGTCATGAAGTCAACCCAGGTGCTGACCAATGGTGGATTGGATAAAGAAAATGAATTACAGGCCAGGTGCGGTGGCTCTAACCTGTAATCCCAGAACTTTGGGAGGCCAAGGTGGGTAGATCATGAGGTCAGGAGATCAGGACCATCCTGGCCAACATGGTGAAACCCCATCTCTACTAGAAATGTAAAAATTAGCTGGGTGTGGTGGTGCATGTCTGTAATCCCAGCTACTCAGTAGGCTGAGACAGGAGAATCGCTTGAACCAGGGAGTCGGAAGTTGCAGTGAACCGAGGTAGCACCACTGCACTCCAGTCTGGTGACAGAGTGAGACTCTGTCTCAAAAAAGGAAAAGAAAAGAAGAGAAAATAGTTTGCATATACAACCTGGAATACTATACAGCCATAAAAAATCATGTCTTTTGCAGCAACATAGGTGCACTTGGAGATCATTATCTTAAGTGAATTTACATAGGGACAGAAAACCAAATATAGCACGTTCTCACTTGTAAGTGGAAGCTAAACATTGGGTACTCATGGATATAAAGATGGCAACAAATAGACACTGAGGACTACAAGAAGGAGGGCAGGCAAGGGGGCAAAGGTTGAAAACCTAACTGTTGGGTACCACGATCAGAACCTGCGTAATGGGATCATTTGTACCCTAAGCCTCAGCATCATGCAATATACGCAGGTAACAAATCCACTCACATATGTCCTTAATGGAAAAAAAAAACCAACTAATGAAAACAAAGTCCTTCTTTTGTTTTCTGGTACATTCCTTCATTTTAAACCAGAGGCTGTTGTTTCCAAACTGTTCACTGGAATACGGTTTCTTTTTTCAGATTACTTTTGTTTACAGGAGAGTAATGTGTAGTGTCTGAAAATAAGGAGACAAAAGGTATTTTAGGGGGAAAAACTTCATTTAATGAGTTCCATGAATCATTAGAGACCAGAGAACTCTGTATGTCCCCACATTGACTCTCTGACTTACAATGCATTGTCGACGATCAAGACAAGAAAAGAGGCAGTGAGAGTGTCCAACTTCAGGCTGCTAGCTGTGGTTTATTGTCACTATCACAATTTCATCCAAAGCTGTCTGCTCCCAGGTTCATTTGATTTGACTAGAGATTGATGTTTTGTCAAATGAAAAGTAATCTCACCTGGCAACTATAAATATTTCTATTAATTATTGTTATTTTTAAAGAAAATAGATCACTTTGACAAATTTTATCTCAACGTGTTTGCTCCAGTGAAGCTAAATGATCTCAGAATAACCACTTACTATCTAATGTTATTTGACTTTATAAGGACGAGTAAGAGGATGTTCTATATCTCAAAACATACATATAGGTAGTCTCTCTATTCCCATTGGGCAAGAAAAATAAAGAGATGATTTTTTTTTTGGTGGAATATCCTTGTCCAAACTTCCTTCTATTGTCTGGAAACCCTGATATGCATTATGTTTTTAATAAATTTATATTCTTTGAGTAAAAATAGAAATAACATAACTGTAACTTTT